GTTCCCTTGCATCTTCAAATACCTAATTTATTATAGTGATTGGTTCACATATGTTGTTTTCAGATAGTATTGCCCAGTTGTTTTTTGAGAAAATTATATTTTCAGTTATTATCTTTATGAGTTTGTTGTTAATAAGTTTGATAAAGATTTTCTTGATGGACTCAAGCAAGGTGATAAGATGGTTTATGTTAATGTTATGTTGCCAGTCTTTCAATTTGTATATAGGTAATCATGGGTCCCTAAAGTATTTAGTATATAAAATTTCACAGATCACTTATGTCCCTTTTTGAGAGACAAAATTCATAACTCTTTATTTTAATAGGGACAAAAGTCAGAAAATACTATAAGTTAATAATTTGAATAATAAAGAACAATTGTGGATAGTTTTTTTATAGTTATTAATTTAAAAATTTTAAAGTTTCCTAGTGAGAAACATTTGATTAATGTTTCTATCTTCCTTTTTAAAGATCTATCTTTAGGTATAGGATATATTGTTTCTTCTTTCTATTCTTTGAGGAATCTTTTATGTATGTAAATATAGTTAAACAAGATGGTTATAGAGTCTAGAGCTTCTTTACTAAGATGTTTGTAGACTAAATATGGGATTTGAGAAGGTCCAGGTGTCAACTTGTTACTAGATTTTTTGACTACTTGTTTTATCTCTTCAGCAGTAAATGGGTATAGTATAGGATTGAATTATTTTTCTTTGATATGTAGTATTGATTGATATGCTTGTTACCCTACTGTACCTTTTTGTTTCAGGATGTGTTTTCTTTTTGTCCAGTTTCTGAAGTGGGAGCAAACTGTTTCTTTTATTTCTTGAGAATTGTAGATGAAGATCTTTTATTACTTTTATGTTTAATTAGTTTGGTTGTGAAGATACTTTGTTTAGGGTTATCAAGTAGTATCCTGATTAGCTTTTTCTTATCTGAGTCATACTAGTTGTTTCAGTTTTTGAGGACTTGGTTAATATTTTCTTTGGTTTTGGGTTTATATCTTTTTTGTTAACAGTTTTCTCTAATGCTATTAGTTTGTCAATTTCTTCAATGATTGCAATAATATTTGATTCTGGTGACTATTGGTCGATGGGGATCTTCTTGAAGATGGTTTGATAAAGGTTGCTCAGCTATTTTAAATCAATCTTGTGATAATGTTTACTATGCAGCTTGATATGTTTTTTATGCTATATCAGTTGTATAAGAAGTAGTGATTTAGGTGAATTGATATTTTTGAATCTATTTTTCTATTTTTTTTTGTATTTATGGATATGTTTTTGGTTAAACTCAGTATCACTTGTTTAAGATAGTTCCATCCTTTATCAATATTTGTTAAATCTTATATGAGTATTTTATTGAGTGCAGATATGTATATGTTGAGGTCTGCTATGAATGCTTTTCATTGTTTATCTGATATTTGTTTCCAGAGAAAATAGATATTATTGTTATGATATCTATTGCATTTAGTTTTTATATCTAATTGCCATGATTCAATATATATTATTTGGATGCTATGATCAATAGTTACTGTATATTGGTATTTTTAGTAATGAATGAGTCTATGGTGCACTATATGGGATGAGTGTTTGTCTATATCATATTGATTCTACTTGAGGAGGTCATCGAATGCCAGATGTATTCTTTTAATTGAGAGTTATGGTATCTAAATATGTTAATCATCCCTAGCTTATAAAGTTGTTTGTAAAAGCTATTTGTTTTGTCTTTATATATTTTTTTGTTGATACTAATTTTGTCATTTTTTGCCATGGGCTGATATTAAAGTCTTTATCGATTATTATATACCAGTTCAGGCTGTTGTGTTGTTTGATCCATTTTATGATTTATTTTTGTACTTTTCTTCTGAGTTTTTCAGCTCTAGCAGGAGAGTATATGCCAATGATTCTGCATTAGAGTTTATTAGAGAGTATGATATTTATGCATATGGTTTGATCCAAAAAACATTGTATTTTAATTATATGGTTGAAGAGAGGTTTCTTGATTGTGATACCCATATCAGTGCCAATATTGTTGTCTTCTTCCCACCATGTTGAGTAATCTTCTGTTTTCCAATATTGTGTGTTGTTTTTGATTCTATTGGTCTCTGCTGATATTATTATGTTCCAGTTGTTTATGCACCATGTGGTAAACCAAGTTTCTTCTTTAAGGGATTATTTAGACCTCTGCAATTCAGAGTGGCCATTGTCCAATAGGATTTCATGTAGTTCTGTTTAGTATTGATTGGATTGTTTTGTGATGTGTTTTTGGGAAGTTGTGAAGTGTTTGGGTAATTATTTGTTTTTCAATAGTTGTTGTTAAGGGGTGGGGTGTTTGTTGTAATGATATTTTGAGTTGTTTTGTTTAAGGTACTTTCATTTATATTTGTGTGATTAGGGCAATGGTATAGTTTGAGATATTGTTATTGTTTTTTAATATTTAGTTACTTGGATGATTATCATTTTTTTGTTCAGTAAGTGTACTACTTATATTACCCATGTTATTGATATGTTGAGGGAGATTGTCTTGTATTACTTGGAAGAATATTCATAATGGTTGATACTAGCATGTTTATATTTCTATTCATGTTTCTTATTGATTGGTAAAATTGTTGTTGTTGTTGTTGAATATCTTGTATGTTTAAGAGTTCAGCTACTAGTATTTAAGTATTGATATTGGTGTTTGTATTGTCCTTTTCCATGCCTTCTGCATCTGCGTAGCAGTATTATTCCAGGTTATCAATTCTTTCATTGAGGTTTTTTAATGATTTTTTAATAAAAGTAATTTCTTCGCAAATTGCATTGCAAGCTGTAAGAATGTCATTTATTGTATCCAGATTGTATTCATTTTTCAAGATGTTGTGAGAACTTCTGATAGCTGCAGCATATGATTCTGGTTTGGTAAGTTTAGTACTTCTTGTAGATTGTATTAGTCTATAAATATGTATGAATTTGGTTGGTTTGAATCAGTTGTATAATTTTCTGAATTTTTGGGCTTGTTCGTGGTTATACTTATTTTACTGTTCTCTTTATTTTTTGATTGTACAGCTGGCTACAAGATGGTCCAGACTGTCGGATATGGTACAGAGCTTCATGTTAATAGGTTTGCATATCAAAATAGTTTTTTTAAGGTAGAAAGTCTTGTTTAGTACTTGTTAAATGAGTTGTTTACTGTTGAAACTGAGGACTGCATATTTCCTTGATTTGTATGACATTAACTAGGATATGTAGCAGATTTTGGCTTGTAACTTTTGACAGATATGCTTGAGATCAAATACACAAGACCCAGGTAAGAGGTTGTTTAATTTTACAGAAAGAATTCCCCTGTTCTTCATTTCTAGTAGATCCTAGGTTGCATAAAAAATCCTTACTGAGTCTGTTTTGATGAGGGTACTCCAGGATTCTAGTACTGTGTGTTTATTTTCTAGGTTAAAGAATGTGATTGTAAATGATTGCCACATTTGTTATATTGTTATCTTGATATTGGTTACTTGTCAATACTTAATGAATATTTGTTGTACATTAATGAACTTTGTGTTCAGGAGAATGTCCTACACCCTGATGCTCTTTTCCTTATCTAGTCTACTGATTGTTTTAAGGAGTAGTATAAGTTTAGCATTGCTTGTTTTGGTAAAGTTTATGTTGCTAGCTGTTTATATAGAGTGATAATCTTTGGAAATGGTAATTATATGATCGATCTTCTCTATTCATTTGTTTTGGATTGCGAGTAGTCCTTCAGAAAAGTTGAGTGCCTTGATAAAGAAGATGATTTTTTTTCCTATAGAATCTCCTGATAGTGTATTTACTTTGATTTCGAGTTTGATTCTCTTTCTATCATATCTAGTATTCCTGTCAAAGAGTGAATGGAATCTCAGTCTACTACCTTGTCTTGGTTTTTTTTCTCTCGTTTTTCCTAGGTTTGCCAATCTTGTTTCTCTTGAGAAGAAGTGTTATCATCGAAGTCTATCTCAATATCTGAGTCGCCAATTCTTACTGGTCTGTGGTTGTCAGTTGCAGTTTTTTTGCCCTTTGCCATGGGGCCTTTACTTGTCTTGTGGTGTGCTTCACCTATATTATAGTGTATCTTATTGTACATATCTTGCTTCTCTTTCACCTGTTCATTCCAAATGTATTGAGTTCTTGTTGTGCTAATATCTTCTGTTGTTCCTATAGTTGTATCATTATCTTGAGCTATTGTTTATATAGTATTGAAGATGGAGGGATTATTTGTTTTTGTAAAGCTGTATTTAATACTAGGTTTTTTTTCAAGTTTTTTATATATTTTTTTACTGATAGGGCATGCCTTGTCCCTGACGAGCTTGTTAATATTATAGTTAGACCTGTTGGTTAGATATTGTTGTCTTTTAGGTTTCTTTATTTTTAAACTGTTTCTTGCATTTTTGTGATTTGTGCTACTGTGCCACAGAAAAATAGGAAAGAGTGTGTTTTATATTTATAAATTATGAATAATACAAATTATAATATAATATATAATTTATAATTTATTTTTATTTATTTTTTTTTAACCCACAGTCAGGTCAGCATGGCATGTCTTTATTATATATATGCTAGGTATTTACAAATTATTGCAACTTTTACATACTGACTTACTTGTCATCGAAAAACTATTTCTCTAAATGCAACCTAGGGAATGATATTTCGCTCCTTTACTAATTTGGATAAATCCTCTAATTAATAAAATCATTGCCTACAGGTCATTACTGTAGAAAAAAAATCTGACTTTAAATATCTAGTTCAAACTTTATTTTCATATTTTTTAAGTAGCGCAATCCATTCAACTAATAATGTACAATGACGAGTTAGCTATCATGTGAGAGTCCTTGTGATGCCGTTAAATCTTAATAAAATGCGATTAAAAAAATAAAATCTTAATAAAATTTAAAATTATATGAATGTTTAGTAAAATGCTTAATGCAAATTTTGATAAAAGAGAATTAACATTATATGCATGTTAAAAGATTAAAAGTTATTTCCTAATGAATGAATAATTTTATTCTATCATCAAGTCTTCAAATAAATTCTTCCTAAGTTCTTCAAAACTAATGTGCAATATTTCAGGAAACTCTTTGACTTCATTCGTGTGATTTGGACCGCCAGGGCTACCGCAAATATATACAATTCGAAAATCATGTACAGGTTGACCATTTTGAGTGACAATAAACTTCCTTGACCGAGGATCAATCTTAGCCTCATGTATTCCACCAAATGCGCCGTCTAGATATTTCTCAATCAGATTTCTTTGATCAAAAGAACGTAAATTATATGAACTACTAGGATACTCAAATGCTCTTTTAATATCAACCAAATTTTTAACATGCACGGCAAAATTGCTTATAGATATTTGTATAAACATATGCCCAAGAATAAAATCGAATAGAGGGTACCCCCGGTAACACCGTAAGAGAGTATCATCAACATTTGGAGAAGGAGGTTCCCGGAGGAACCTGAAATGCTTAAAAACAATACGCAATGATGTTACATTATTCCCAGAAAGGTCTGTCGCCCGGAAGGTCACATCTTTGCGACGTAAAAGTTCCTGAAAAAGAACGTCCTCAAACACTAGGCTAGTCATATTTCCATTGATAATCGAACTAGCTATATCTCGAGGAAGTGGCATCGACATATAAATCTCTAAGAGGGCATCTGTAGCAGGCTGTGATAAAGGATGATATTGTAAGGCGCCCTTCTTGGACCGATAAACTAATCCAAGGTCTATTAACTGATAGACTAATGCTTGACAGGTTGATTCCATATCATCATGTTTTCGGGGAAGAAACATCGTCGCAAGAGCACGACGCTGGGCGTATCGTTGAGTATTATTGAGACTATTGTGAAAAAATTTCTGAGCAAGCGCGTAGTACTCCACTCGCTGAACGCTTGCATATTTGTTGAATAGTTCAACTAAGCCTGTTTCTGTTATAGGTGATCTTACGGCAAATAATTCATCGCTGACAAATTTTACCATATTTAACAACTCACGCGGAACATTATTCGTGATTTCCTTAATTATATTCCTGATTTCTGGACTTAATGATTTAAGAATATCATTCATACTCAATAGTTTTTCAAAAATATTATCAGACAGAGGAGTAATAAAAATCAGCCTTTCCGACAAGTCATCTCTGATGTATTCTCTCTCATATTTTGCATGCGCCGTACCTGATAAAATAACACAACACCCTTTCATTTCGTCATTCCATGCATCAAGTTGCATCAAAGGGCTAAGAATCATTTGGCGTTGGGGTGTCGGAGGATTGGATTCAAAGAGTGAGCCATGCTCATCCACAACAAGTAGAGTTTTTTGTTTAGATTGCTTGAGCAGATGTCCCATTATGTTTTCAGTAACAACGCACAACATTTCTTTATCATCAAAATAGCTTGATGGGCCTAGTGGAAATATCAATCGTTTAAAGTTATCTACCGTCAGAATATCCTTGTTAAGGGCTAGGAAGCGCACGACTATTTCTTCCGCTATGACATAATCAACCGACTTATTTAATACACTTGCATTTGAAATGTAGAGTAAAGGCCACCCCTCAGCATATGCTTTTGCAGCAAGAAACAGTGCAAGATATGACTTGCCAATACCAATCGGTCCTGATAGAATTCTTTTGATTGAAAAACTACTTTCGATTGAAATCTCGTGCCATATTTTGATCATTTGCTCGGTAACTAAAAGTGAATCCCCTTGATAATTCATTCCATAATTCTTCGGAATTTGACCAAATGAAGGTAATGAAATGGCCTGACCTAGTTGTACATGGCCTACTTTTCGCTTAAATTCACTGCGTGGAGCGGGTTTGAAGTTTTCACTAGTAAGAATGGTAAATAAAGTCGGTGGGATGCTCACGAGTCCATCAGTGGCGGTATATTCCACCCAAAAATCAACACGGCGTTTCTTGGTAACAACTTCTACCAATCACACAAAAAAAAAAAAAAAAAAGGAAAAGTGGATACAAAATAAGGTGCAGAAAAGATTAGCTTATATATAATATCATTAACAAATACGAACTCAAAGGGGACGGAAAAGCCCTTCGTGTGTTCGTTTGAATTAACCGAGTTTATTCGCAAATACAATAGCACATGCAATATTCCCCAAAACAACGGTGAAAAAAGCTGGCGCCACGGCTACCTCCATAATAGTAAGTCATCAGATCTTTTCACTGTCATGCGAAGTAAAATTTAGTTACCTCGTTCTTCGCTTTTAATTTCTTTGATTAGCTCTGCTATTGCCTTTGCCGGTCCTCCAGGCATTCCCCACCTTTCGAGGTCTTCTGTATTTATCCTGAGAAACGAAAAACCCACAACTCTATTCTTTTTGATCACATCGATGTCGTCATCAAGAAGAAATAGTTCATCTTTTTTAGACTCTAGAAAAGTAATAACCTCCTTCTGACTCCATTTGCTAATTACGCCAACAGAAGGGAGAGACATGTTCGTTTCATTTATTACTTGACGTGATTTTTCCATAAAAAAAAATATTGTAGCACGATCTTTGAATGTTACACGAGCCCTCAGTCGTAAAGAGTGAAAAAGTAATTTAAATTGTCAAATGGCTTGAGTTATATAGAAATAAACCTTTGATTAAATATAAAATATATTAATATATAAATTCCAATAGTAAGGTATGAATGGATTTAAGGTAAACTTATAATATAAATGATTTATATAATTGTATTAAAAGAATTGCATAAAAAAGATTTTTTGTTTAACAATTTGACTTCAAATTTTTGCTTATAATTTAATAACTATTTAATGAAATTAAAGATAAAGTTGCTTTTGCTTAAGGAAATTTTTAAAATTTATTAATAAAATTTTACTTGGGATTCAATTTTTTTAAAAAAAATATTGATTTTAAGTTTATTAGAAAAAATCTATAATAAAAAGTTATTAATAATATTCTATCTTATAAATTTGATAAATAAAGATAAATAGATGCAAACTAAAATTTTTTTATAATTTTTTTATTAATTAAAAAAATTTTATTTTAATAATTTAATTGAAATTTAATGAAAAAATAATAATTTTATATTAAATTGATATTTTAAAATTTTAAAAATTTTTAAAATTAATTTTATAAAAATTATTATTATATAATAAAGAATCTTTATTAATTTTTATATAAAATAATTTAGATTAAATTTTTATTTGATATTTAAAATACTTGTAACTTTATTAATATGCAATTAAAATTAGTAAAAAATATTTAATTTAAGCTATGTCTTAAGTTATTATTTTTAAAAAAAATTGTTTAAATTTAATTACTGGATAATAAGAAAATAGTATAAATATATTAAACTCTATTTTTAGAATTTGACTATTTTTTTGGATTTAATTTTTTTAACAAAATTAAAATATTATATCTCCATTAATATATAATTTTATTTAATATAAAAATATTAGTCTTAAAGTTTATATTATAAGCTATTATTTAAAAAAAATTATTTGAATCTAATTACATATAACAAAAAAAATAGCAAAAATAAATTAAATTTTATTTTTTAGAATTTGACTATTTTCACAAATTTAATTTTTTTAAAAAAACTAAAACTCTTCTATTTCTATTAATATTTAATATAAAAATATTTTTAAAACTTATATTATAATTTATTATTTAAAAAATAATTATTTAAATTAGATTATTATATAATAATAAAAAATATTATAAATAAAAAAAAAAAAAACTCTTTTCGCTGATCCCCTTTTTTCTAAAAATTTCCTTATTTAGTAATTTTCTTGGAAAAGAGAAGCCAGCCTCAAAAGCACTTTATCCTTTAAAAATTTAGGACTTAATAACAAACTATAACAGTCAACCACCTTCACAAAGCTCCCCTTATCAATCAAGAGAAGTATAGGCAACACAGCATCATACTAGCTTTACTTTACAAGGAAAAGGAAAAACAATCACAAACTGATTCACAGTAAGCTTAGGAGAGCCCAATATCAACTTCTCAAGCTTCTAGCCAGG